CCCCAAAACCGCAAACCCCAAAACCCCAAAACCCCATGTATCCACATTAATCTTATACCATATTAGAAATTTAGTTATTTTAAATAAAAAAATTAAGGAAAGGATTGTAGATGTAATATTAATTTCGAATTTGATAATCGATATAGCTCAATTTTTCATTCATTACTACTTGCTATCAATTATGAAGAATCAGCTTCATTCAACTCGATGAATTTCATTCGAGAACTAGCATCGCTTGATAATTTATGATCAAGAATTTCGGTGCGATTAATGTTGTTCATGTCTTCTGATAGCAATCTATTATAATCACCATTGGTAGAAACTGACATAGCTTTTTGTTATTGCTGCAATCTTTTCATTTTTTTCTTCTTTTTCTTATCTTCTTATGTCTCTCTAAATCGGAAGAAATAAGTTATTCCGCAAGAAAGAATTCCAAAAGCACCGATTGCTGATGAATAACCTATGAATGTAGATTAATCATTTACAAAAGAAGCAACTATTAGAAATATTGAAGCTCCTAGTGCTTAAAGTAGGTTAAAGATTGAATAAGGCTCATAATTATTGGCAAATTCAAAACCTAGCATTTCAAAGCAATGAGTATTTACCCCTCCATCTTAAACACCCCATAAAAATGTCATAACAAAAGCTAATGGACTATAAGTAAATGCAACAGAGTAGAAAATTGTAAAAAATACCATAAGAATCATTATAACAACATTTGCAATTACTACAAATTTTGATCCTTTTGTATCTATTAGGTATCCAATAAGTAATCCACCGACAACTTCTCCAACTCCAAAAGCTACCATTGCAAGCATAGATTTGCTCAGCTTATCACTATCACTGTCATTTGGTAAAGTTGCAGAGATAAGCGGTGTAAGAGTACCAGAATAATAGGCTATACTCACTCCAGTCCAGAATTATTGGAGTAAAAATAATCTCATTCTTCTAGTCTTAGCCATATTCCATATGGATACAATATCTGTAATAATAGATTACTATTTTATTTCTGTGTTTCGTTGTGGGATTGGAGAATATGGTTGAATAGTTTCAGTTAGACTTGCCATTGTAAGATCACTGCTGAAATGTCTCTCAGATATAGGTGGTGATTCTAATTCATCTAAAGGCGATGCATCAGATACCGGTTTTCTTAGAAATAAACAGAAGAAGAAAGAGATAAATGATATTCCTGAAAGGACAACAAAAAAGATTTGCTGTGGCATTAGTTCAATGCAAAAAGCTCCAATGAGATTTCCAAAAATTTAAGATGCCATGTAAAAAGACCAGAAAAAGCTGAAGAAAAATCCTTTGGTGCTCTCTGTAGCACAATCACTTAAATATTTCCCTTGGCCAACCCATTAAATGGCTTGCCCTAGTCCATTTATAAAGGAGAGAGTAATTATAAGTCCAGTTATGAAACTGGGTTATAGGTAAAATTTCCGATCATCTGGGTTAGTATCTTTTGAAATTCCACAAAGAGCGTATGATAATATCCAAGGTACATTTAAAATAGCTCCAAGAGCCATGCATTATACCTCACCAATCCTTTTCATGACCACTGTGGAGAAGACACATCCGACTGCAACTCCTAAATACAAGATCGCTATTGACTGAAAGCCAAGCTAGCCGAAGTTATCTTACTAGAGTGCCTCTGATTAGATGTTCTGAGCTGAATTAAATGCGATGAACAAAATCAAAAAGTTTATAGAGCAATGAGTTGCTTGACATAAGTTCCTTCTATATTCTTCTTTCATTAACCCAGAGCAAGTAAATTATATATTCTAGATTTAAAATTATATGACATATTATAATAAATGGATTAATATAGTAATTCCTTTGGATTCATTAAGATTTTTCCAATGGGGTTTTGGGGTTTTGGGGTTTTGGGGTTTTGGGG